CAGACGGCAAAAAAAAGAAAATAAATCTTTATATTTGTTATAATGACATCTATCTGCAAATGCAATTTCAAATATTGGACAGATTTTTCAGAAGTGACCTGAACCGAACTGAAGTTCAGTAAATGTGGGCTCCAAGAGTCTTCCTTTGAGTTTGAGATAGAAGATTAAACTGCAGTTTTCCATTGTTGTTATTAAGATGTTCATAATTTCATAATTCATTTATTTATTTAGGTGTACATTTTTCAGATCTTATAAGCTAATACAATGATTGTTCTTCCATAAGGCATGCGAAAAAGCGAGAAGTAGAGAGACATTTACATCCAAAACACTACGTATTTTAAAACAGCAATAAATTATTAGACAATGTTTAATGGTCAAAACAAACTTTTAGAATTCAATTAATGTCAAGCAATAACAATAAAATAACATAATGTCATGCAGTCATAAAATAAAATGATATAATATCATAAAATTATTACAAAATATAAATGACTAGCTGACCGGCGCAACTTCGTCTGCGTCTCTCAATAGTAATAAATTTTCTCCGTTTTTGAAACATTCTTTATTGATGCTCCGCTCCTATTGGTCTTAGCGTGATGATATATAGCCTATAGCCTTCCTCGATAAATGGGCTATCTAACACTGAAAGAATTTTTCAAATCGGACCAGTAGTTCCTGAGATTATCGCGTTCAAACAAACAAACAAACAAACAAACAAACAAACTCTTCAGCTTTATAATATTAGTATAGATGTGTTAACTTGTCATTATTTTTGTTTTACTACTGTCTCGATAGACGTCGTTGTTGCATGAACCTAGATCGCAATACTAAGATTCTTCGAGGCGAAATAACATTGTGTAATATTTGTAATTGTATATTTTGCCTTTACCACTCACAAATATAAATGCAAGGCAAAGTTAGTAAATTGTATTCTATAAAGTAGGGTTTGCAACTTTCAGGCACTAAGTATAATATTAAATATGTTCCTAATGTCCTGTGGAGGAACGGGTATCATGTGCCGCATCGACCAGGCGAGGTGATCATGCCTGGCGGGCCACGGCCCAGCGGTTAATGTTGGGAAGTTGTATTTATGCTAATCAGCGAGAAAATTCTTCACATCGCGATACAGGATTAGCAATTCTCATTCAGGAGTTAATCTGTAGTTCGGTGTCTTCGTTAAATGGCGCTGTAGTATGTTTATGTCTCTTTGTATGTGGAAGTCGCCACACATCGTGTCTATACTTTAAATGCTAAATGGTAGTCAGTGGAGTGGCCCCAGTTGCCCCTTATGTTAAAATGTAATGAATGAAATAAGGTGACAAAATGGGCAGATTTATCAAGACTTAGCTTTGATCAAACGATCAACCCAAATGGCTTTACACTACTCAGATTAAGTTTTCAACTGCGAACATACATTAAAAAATCTCTACATGTATCTAACAGACAAGATATAACAATAAAATAAATCCAAATTTTAATGCCTCATTTACATGCGTGCCGAGGCTCGGCAAACGTTCACAGTCCCGAGCCTTCACAAACGCTTGGGTGTCATTTACACGCTTGCGAGTGGTCAGTGTGTTTCGGACAGGCAAACATGGCAGACGTAGACGTTAAAGTCGTGACGGCTATTACGTTTGGTTTGACATATTTTTATTTAAAATATAAACAAAAAAGAAGAAAAATTCTGAAGAGGAGATGGTATATATATATATATACGTACTGCCGGGTCCGAAGCTAGTCAAGCATTCACAAAATAAACACGTGAATAAAATCGTATTCTTAATAAATAGATTATTAGATATTAATAGATATTAAGAATACGATTTTATTACGAAAAAGCAAGTGAAGTGATTAGTAGGTAGGTAATAAGAATTTAAAGTCGCTTTGATGTCGCCAACATTGCGTCGCTGCCGCGTAGGTACAGTTCACCGACTGTTGTTATCAATGGTGTTCTAATTCGGCAATTGTTTTATTGTATTTATTTAGTTCCAAATTTGCATTTCTGTATTTTCGTACTATTTTTATTTTAACCGACGTATGTTGAACCGTGTTATCTGGTGTTTCAGTTTTTGTCAAAACCTTCATCACACAGTGTATAATGAATTCTGTTCCCATACTATTCTCTGGATACATGTATCTATATATGTATATATTTATTTTTATTTAAAACTAGCTAGTACCCGCGACTTCGTTCGCATGGAATTTGAAAAGCGCTGCCTTAGTGGGTGCGATTCCCGGACCGGGCAAAATTTAAAAGGGTTTTTCTGAAAGGAAAAATAGCCTAAGTTACTCCTCATATAGACAGCTACCTGGTAGTAAAATATTATCAAAATCGGTCCAGACGTTTAGAAGATTACCCGGAACAAACAGACAAAAAAAGCCGTGTGGTGTCGTGGGACACCCGATAGGAACGAAGTTGTGACGATCGAGTAAAACTGATTCGACACGATTTCAATTACAACGCCATCTATGAAAGCGGCTATTTACCTACATATTTTTCAGTTGGTTTCTAATTAAAACAATTTATACATTGGTAAAATCTCCTTGAGAAATGATGTCGAATACAATATTTTTTGCTCAACCTAAGAACATAAATTTTAATTTTACTGAGATGAAAAGTAATGATTTCCTATCTATTTGATAGATGGCGCTGAATGACTGACATAAAAAGTGTCGTTACAACTTTTCGTGAGGTTTTTTTTTCGTCTAGCGCGTCTTTCACAACGCGCGATAAGGAACTTCGTTCCAATTATAGTTTAAAAAACTAAAGACACATTTTTGTAACGAGACGAACTAAAAAGAAGAAAATAATTTAATAAAAGATTTTTTTTCCGTCTAGCCCCCTTCCACAACGCGCGATAAGGAACTTCGTTCCAAAAAAATTAAACGTCATTTGACCAATGAGTAGTCATGTTCGATGCGGTCGTATACAGCGCAACGTAAATCATACTCGCTCAGCGCGAGCTCGTGAGCGACACTGAACACGCGCCAACGTGTAAATACGTCGCAAACGCTAGCGCGAGCTTCCTTTGATCTGTGTTAAAAAACTCGACGACTAGCCTACGCGAGCCGAGCCGAACACCCCGTTTACACGCTTGTGCTCGTGGATACTTGTCGAGGCTCGCCATGCGTGTAGACGGCCTATAACATGAGTGCTGAAAATTGCTGTACTTGGCTGTTTCTTTTTACAGGAACATAGTTTCTGGTAGGTACTTGTTAATTATTTCGATTTGTCTGTTTCGTCTACAATGGTTGTATCGGCCCGAAATGTTCAAATTTTTTACATGTGAAAAATGATTTTAAAAATAGAGCTTTAATTTCTAAAAGGTTAACTAGTCTATCTTGTGTTAACAAAAATGAAAAAAAAATATTTCAGTTACGAAATTCTACTAAGTGCTTCTACTTCTACCAATAAAAATTATTATTCGTAGTTCTACGAGTACTGGTACTGGTACCTCATGTAAGGTTCTAACGTCTAGTCCATAAACCATAGAGATATAACCTAGAGGGAACAAGAGCCCCATTCTTGCAAAATAGGCAACGAGAGAGATGCATGATAGTTAGGCCCCTCTATCTCTTTCTAGCCGAGGTCTGAGGTTGGCTAAGGACTATGAGGTAGAGATGGACATTTAAAATATACATCGATGTTTTTTTCGATGTAATGCATCGATCGGTCACATCGATGGTAATACGATGTATTGAGAAATACATCGATGTTTCTTAAACATCGATTATTTTCGCGATGACGTGTTTTAGGTTAGGTCAGGCCTTAATTAAAAAAAATATATATATATTAATAAAAGCACTAAATATATTTATTCAAATTCAAAATCACACAACCAACACATTTTTCTTCACATATTCCAATATTTTCCAATCCAATATATTCCAGTTAGCCACGCTAACAATTTTCGCACACATTTAGTGTCGGGAATACTTGTAACTTTGTCATTTAAATAAAACGTTGATTATGCGCAAGTAATCAACTTTTAACCATAAATTCAGCGAGTATTTATTTAAAGCGAATTCATAATCTAGTATTTTCACATAATAAAAATCAAGTTTAATTTAATTTTCCCGCGAACAAACGAATAACACGAGTCGAACGACCTACAACGGGCGAATTAAAAGAACCCCGTTCAATAAACTATAGCTATTTGGCGGCTATACAACACTATACTCATTCATAAATTGCTTGGTCGATGCATCGAATAAAAAACATCGATATATATTCGATGTTGAAGTATTAAAAATACATCGGTTTAATACGATGCATCGTTACTATACATCGAGTGTTTTAAATAAATCGATGTATATCGTCCATCTCTACTATGAGGAGTTAATAAGTAGCCAAACGCAGCTTAGCTGAACGGAGACAGAGCGCAACATCGGGCATCCATCTCTCTTCAGCCTCCCCATGTTATTTTTATAGTTATATATCTATGCCATAAACAGATGACATAGACGTCCATCCAATTTGATTTTGAATGATACTTCTTGGAAGTGATGCAAACTCCTGGGTTTTCTGCCGAAATTTATGGGGGAAAAACTATAAATTGAGTTTCAAGGGGTTAAATTTTTTAGGGGTATTTTTTGGACATAAAATTTTATTTGTATTTATTAACAATTTATACAGTATTTTCTTTCCACAAAACTAAAAAATAAAAATCAGATTAAATTATTCCAGTTTTAATAGATGGTGCTGTGTACATTATACAATGAATAAATACTTGGTCCGTCATTCGCTTTGTTCGGTTAGGGAGCTTTGGTGTAAATTTAGTGGTTTTTTAAATTGCTTTAGGGGGAAAGTTTTTACACAGTTGGCGACACTGCTTCTTGGGAGACTTCATATTTCATTGAGAAGACTCACAAGACTGTCACTTGTTGAATGTTCTGATGTTTTGTTTTTGTTTTACTTTTGATTTTACTTGAATTTTAGTTCAGTTGAATTCATTTGCATGTCTATCTATTAGTTAATTATTTTTACGCACTTAACTAAAATGAAAACAAAACAAGGAGAAACGAATTATAAGAAAAACGAGTGTAACATTTGTAATAAAGTTATTATTGGTAGTTCTTATAAGTTTAGATCACATCTTTATCAACACAGTGCCGTGAAATCTCGTTTTAAGTGTTCTCATTGCTCAAAAGAATATTTTAGACGAGATGCTTATGACAAACATATGGCTGTGCACACTGGTGCGAGGAAATACCATATTTGTGATTATTGTGACCGTGGTTTCGTAGACAAACGCAATTTAACAAGCCATCTTAAAATTCACGATGAATATTTTCATAAACCTAAGGAGCAGTACAAATGTTACGTCTGCGGTATAAGTTACTGTGAAGAACGCCTTCTCAAGTATCATATTAGGAAGCAACACTTTAATTTGCATGCCAAAGAATCGGCTCTTGATAAAAAGAAGCCGAATGAGACATGGGTGGAGCGTGTTATACAGTCGGAGATTTGTGTTGAAATGACCAAAGTTAATGAAAGCACTATAATGATTAAAAAATCTCCGAAAACTGTGCCATTTACACAAAACAAGCAAGCATCGGAAAAGACAAAGTTTCGAGAGTATATTTCTTCTGTTTTTGCCAAGACTGATAAGTCTCAGTACTCTAAGGCTGTATGTGATTATTGTAATAAAGAAATGTTGAAGAAGAGTCTACAGTCACACATCAGAGAGCGCCACCTGCTGCTCAAGAGGTTTAAGTGTGAAGAATGCAACATAAAATTCAGTCGACATTATCAATTGGTTAATCATGTCTGCGGTAAACCCTACAGAAAAAGGTTAAACAAAAGCAAAACTAGTTAAGTTATTATTTTAAATTATAACTAAATCACACTGAATTTGACGTTTCTAAGAAAAATTTTTTGGGAAATTTATATTTTCAATCAACATACAAGATATTATTATACATGGATAAAGAAATAGGTTTTTTTTTGTAATTTATCTAAGTTGATGGATATACACAGTTCCCATTTAACGTTTGCCAAAATACAAGCCTTTATCTGTCCTTTAAACTGAACGTACTTATTTATATTTATGTAGTGAGCTCTATCTTACTACTAACTTATGCATGCCATAACATGTTATGCATGCATAATATGTGCTTTCAATTATAGCATGTGATGAACCCGTACGGTCAATCCATGGAAGGCTAAGAAATACAGTGTTATTTTATGCATTAAGGTTATGACGTCGAATATTTAATTTATTGTGATATTCTAAGTATAGAAATTATGTGCACAGAACTGTTTATCTGTATTTTATGTGTAAAAAAATTTGTGCACTTGATGCATATACTAAAGTTCCACTTTGGAGTCTGTTAACAACAATAAAGCCATATTCGGACCTTGTGCGGAACTGATCCAATCCACAAACTGAATAAAATTGTGGCATTGATATTGAAGTACCTAAAGTAATGTGCATTCATGACATTTAGAAAAATACCTTTTTATTATAGGTATTAGAAATCAGTTTTACATGACAACCACATAAATGAATTTATTCTCAATAACTACATAAATTATAATTAGCTAATTAGCATTATAATTTGACCTATATGTGGATATTAGCATTATAATTTGACGGATTGCACCATTATTGTAAGACATAGTTATTTTTAATACATTTCATAAAAGTGCCAAGTCATTTTATATAAAACATCGGGAATCAAATGTGTAAATAAAATTTAATCTTTTTGCATGTCTCTTTGTTAACATTTGATAATTATTTGACTAGTTTTTATGTTAGGTTTAATGTTTGTTTTTCCTTATTGTTATGATATAATAATATGTTTTAATGGCATTGACGGCTCCTACTGCCCCTACGTATAGTAAGTCAACTAACATTTTAGATGTTTTAAGTTATTTTTTATTTATTTACTAGGCAATCAATAGCGAGTACGTGATTACAAACTTACAGCTCTTAGGATTAAGCATCCCTCCACTTAGCCACTAACAGATAGCTACAGGTGGAACTGCAATAATAATTTAACAAAAAACAAACAATATTAAGCTAAACATTATCGTTAGACACTAAAAAGAGTTGCAAATTTAAACAAGGAACTCTTTTTAAACTTATATTTCTTACATCTAATGCAGTTCTTTTGATTCGAGTTGTTTATGGATTCGGCAATTTTTACCTTATTAATCTAAATTGATCACAAAACTTTAAAAACAAAAATAGTTTTATAAACAGTAGTTTCAAACAAACAAATATTACTAAAAGTTAATAAGTAATTTTACTTTGACATAAAGAATTAACACCCGCTCCCCTGTTACTGGTTGTATGGTAACCTCACTCACTCCGTGAAAAGCGAGGAGAAAACTGCTTAATACCAGTTTTCTGTGAGACCGTGGTATCACTGCGGTCGAGCCTGCTCATTTGTGTCGAGGCATGCGTGTATTGTAAATGACACCACTGAAACACACCACTGGGGTGTTGTTTACAATTTTTGAAGTGATAACTTCTTTAGGCGCGTTGGGCTTTTTTGAACAACTAACAAAATAATTGTATTTTTTGAGATGGGAAAAACCATTGAACTCGCGACACCGTTACCGTTACCACCTCTGTATATAAGTATCTACATATATTGGCCCTGTTTACACGAGTTGAGTTTAGGTTGAATATTATTTATCGACCGCAGAAATCTTATTACTTGAAACACAAGTGTCGGAATACATTGATAATATAACTACATATGATATAAACTTATATTGTGTATATACGTACAACATAGATATGATATTACAACATAGATAGATTTTCATATCGGAACTTTTCAAAACAAAAAAAAACCTGTTAAAATCAAGATTTAAATTTTGTCAGAACTCCTGGAGTGCCCCTGTTTTTTTTTGGTAAACTCCACTGCTGACTAATGATGTAAAACGGGAAATAAAACAATTTGTTATGTGTTAATTTTTAATAATAATGTTGAAATTGGTCTAGTTCACAAGGAATGCGTAAAACATTATAATTGTATCCATTGAAACAATAAAAAACTAGATTAGTTTAAAAAACTTTATCTGTCGGTACATACGTAAAAGAATAAACGATAGCGGTGTCGTGGCATGGCTTTCCCGCGTAAACTCACTCGCCTTATTCATAGTTGGTATTTAGGATCCATCGAATGTAAAATCTTGGTTAAATTAAAAAGGTGTCTTGGTAGTATTACTCGGACTAATTTAGTTTATACCGTATTTGGGACCAATTAATCGCAAAAAATCGCACATAAGATGAAAAACAATTACAGGAACATTTAATTTATATTAAGAGACTTAATTAATTTATTTTTGTAATGTTTTCATGGATGGGTGTCGAAACTCACTTAAGTTGTAATAATTACTGTAAATTAATTAAAATAAATACTTACTATCTTACAATAAGAATTAAAAAACGTAAGACTGAAGCTTGGCCTTCATTATTGTTTTTTATGTTATACATTTGTAAATGTATGATAGGATAGTTTCAAATAGGTACATTACAAAATATTGTTTACGAAAAAGTAAAATAAAAACATTATTTTAATTGATGGAACCTACGTTGTAGAAAATAAAAAAAATCAGGTAAGATTATTAATATTTAATTTTGTGATAAGTTTTCGTAAAAAAAGGTTTTTCAAACCATTTTGAACATCTCCCGCGAATTATTGGTTCTTTTTTATGGCAATGATAGTTAAATGGCCATGCGTTTTGCGAGGGTTGTTACACTGCAAAATTGACACAACTGCTCAAAAGCAGTACGATACATACTAAAAAACTTAAGACTTCTTCTTTCGAGGGCAATAAGAGAATAGAAATTACGAGTACGTTTACTTAGCTCTAAATATTAAAACGCACGCACAAATTGAAACTCCTGTCCTCTCATATGACGAGAAAATAAATAGTAGTTTAAAATGAAAAAGCAATGTTAAATTGTAATACTTTAATCATGTATCGATTTAAGTAGATCTTGAATATTTTTCTAGCTTGTTGTAATTTATATACCTAATATACTAGCCCTGCCCCATAATGTGACATCGCGGCAAGTTCTTCAATAAATACTTTATATAATTCAAAACTTGAAAGAAATTCTAAGATTGTTAGTTTCGAGATTAGCGCGTTTAAGCAAACCATTAAGGATTTTTATTATGGCATTAAACTAATGTTTTTATTTTGGGATAACTGTTCACTTGTTCGAAAAGTTAAAGTTGATATTGTAATTTATTAAACTTATGTAAAATCGTGCCTTACATACTGTGAACATTAAACTTATTTATACGTTTTGTTAATACCGTAAACTGTCTAGAATATACAAGTGAATAAACAATGTATTACTATTTGCCTTTTATTTCCTCATCAAAATATTTTAATTTTTAATCTAGTATTAGTAAAATAAAGTAGAAGTATGTTTTCTGGAACAGGTCTGTGTGAAGTCCTCTTTCTCCTTTTAGAATCCTCTATCTCATCCCGCTTTTTGATTGGGCAGTGTACCGTTTTATTGGTCAGTCGATATTTCGTTTTAATGACGCTTGCTAACGTGTCTATTATGAACACAGAACATATATACCCCTAAAGGGGATTATGAAATCAGTAGCTATTGCCAAGGGCTTAGCTCGAATGATTATTTCTTACTTTGAAAATGGCGAACTTCTATACAACCAATCATCCCTTATGTTAGCCCCTTACGGGAGAAATTTTGAAAAAATCTTTTCTTACTTAGTAGGTTATTACAATATAAAAAACATCAGTTGCTAAAGTTTCAAGTTTGTAGTCCCAGCGGTGTAGGGAATATAACGAAGTTTCATATTAATTTCCAACCCTCATTTTGTATCCTTAGAGGTGGAATTTTTTAAAATCCTTTCTTAATCTTATATCCTTTCTTAGTTTCAATGAGATTTCAGAGAGCTTGTCAAGAAGATGTTTATAAAATTATCATTTCGCTAAGCTGTGAAAAATCTGCAGGTGTAGATAATATAAGGGTAGAGGAAATAAAGTATCTAATGTCGCAAATAAGTCCTATATTAGCCTTATTTATCAATTGGTGTGTAGAAAAAGGACTATATCCTCAACAATAAAAAACTGCACTGATAAGGCCTATTATTAAGCAAGGTGCACACAGAATACTCAAACTAACTATAGGCCGATAGTAAAAAAAGTATTCCACAATTTTATTTATACTCTCAGTAATAAATAAATTTGTGGAAAAGTATATTGTAGGCCAAATAAGCACGTTTTTGGAGAAAAATAATATCTTAACAATTGCCCAACACGGTTTTAGGCGAGGTAGAAGTACGGCTACAGCTCTGGCACAATTCTCTAATGATATCAATGAATACCTAGACCTGCGGTAGCAGGTGGTGGCGATCTATATTGTTTTCAAAAAAGCATTTGATACCTTGGAGCACCACCAGTTACTTCCCAGTAAAAAAAAATAGACGTCAATTCAGAAATGGCAAAACAAAAAATACAAAAAAAACCACTTAGTCGAAAGAGAACTTCCATCATTTTTTAATTCGGTTGCGAATAAAACTCACAAGTCTGTCATATGTATATAAATTTAATTTACCTTAAAAAATAATTAGTCTTTAAATAAAATGAAGTGAAGTTTATAGTCGGTTAAATACTGTCAGGTTTAGGAAAATTCGGAATTTTAAAACGAATTTTTTTTTTGTTACTGTCGATATCATTTTGTAAGGCTGAGTCTGGCATGAATGAATCTATGGATTAGGCCAAGGAAAGGCCATTTAATGGAATGACTGGATTTTCTCATAATTTCCACATAATAATTTAAGAAACGCAATCATTTGAATTAACGATTTTTTCGAAAATAAAAACAATTTTAACTTAAACATATTTTTACATTTTTGGTAACAAAACTTTCTATAAACTTTACAAGTTTTTTTTGGACTTTTATCGTATAATTTAAATAAAGGCTCTTCTGTGAGATTTCTTTTTTTTACATTAACGGTCATAACATATTTTAACTGATTCCTTGTTCACTCCACAGCTGACGAATGAATAAACCTGCGAGGCTTATTATTCCAGAAGCCAGTAATATTCTATGCTTCAGAATGAGCACAATATTAGTCGTCCAGTAACTAATTGTAATAATACTCTTCGTAAAACTCTTCGTCTTTTTTAATCTTTTTACAATTAGATTCAGTAGTTGTCTTCCATAAATAACAAAAACTCCATTTTCTTTGTATCTACTGTTTTTGAAGGAGCATTGATATGAAATACTTCCTCGACGTGTTCATCATTTGGCATGGATAGCTGATTGTCTATTACGTCTTCAGACTCCTTCTGGCCTATTAAATCCCTTTTATTTTTCCGAGAAGTGAGTAAACTCAATTTCATCGGCTTGTCTATTTTCGTGACCGTTTTAGTACGGGGATCGTAATGGCCGCAGTCTTTAACGCACATATAGTTAATATTGTTTTTCTTCATTATTTTTGAGTATAAAATTTTGTTCTCAGAATTTATTATTCTGAATGATATATTTGTTTTTGATATCTGAAAGACATTTCTTAATTTTAATTTAAATTATTGTTAATAGAGTAATGATGATGAAAGGAACCGGGGTAGAACTACTATTGGGAGGTCCCGCAAACAATGTCGAAGCGGAGATTTCGTTGGCCTCCAAGAGTGTTTCCTGCTGAAGTAAAGAAGGCGGGAGCTTGTCTTACATAAGTTAGAAAAAGTCTATTTGCGCCATAATCCGGCGCCTAATCTAAATATGCCGTCAGTTTCTGATGTGATAAAGTATCATCCTTTAATCTAGTACGAGGGATATAGCATCTTTAAATACCACAAAAACACTTTAAAAAACAACAACTGCTTATTGAGACTATTATAATAAGGTCAAGCTGGATATAGGTTGTTAATTTTTTCAGGAGTTGGCTATCCTACAGAGTACAGACTACTTGATGCAGCAGCAAGTTCCAGGTTACTATGTCGTGGAAATACCATTAAAGTGACAATATACCAAATTTATAATCAATCAGACCTGTAGATTTCAGTGAGATCCCTTCATCACCTAGGAAGTGAGCTGATGATCTTCAAAAATTATAGCTAAGAACCACCTTGATCACATCGGCTTACGAATAAAAAGATCCGCATCGAAATTGGTCTATCCGTTCGGAGCTATGATCCACAGACAGACAGACAGATACACAGATCGACAGGTTAAACTTTTAACAGTCCTCGTTTTAAAAAAGAAATCAACTGTCATGATTCCTTTGCCTCTCGTCTGTTCCCTAAAAATATCGTCCTGCAGAATAACTTCCTTCTGGCATGTTTTCAGAGAACTCCATAATGCCTTATTAAAACCTTATTTATTTGACTCAAAGTAAATGATAACAGCTCACCAAATATGTTGTGAGGACTTCACAATAATATTTTCCCTCACAAATAATATTATTATGCTTTCCAGCCGCGTCAAAATCCGTTGTAAATCGGTATATAGTGTCAGTAGGGTTGTCACAAGTTGGCGGCAGATCAGTGAATTTTATCATGGATGGACAATTATCATTAAAATCTTCCAACGGCTGGAGATAATCGTGAACGCATATCCAAGAGTCATCTATGATAGAATAGATCTCTACAGGGCACGGCGGTGACTCTTCCAACGTCTACTGAAAAAGTTTCAAAATTTTAGATACGTAATTTTTTATTTGTACGGGTGCTTATGTTGAAATATTTGCCCAGACTATCCGTGTAGTGACGGATTAAGAATACGCAGTGCCAGCCAGCACCCCCATTCATCCCCTAAGAGAACAAACTACGCAGGACAACACCACTGCAGAGAGAAAGAAAACTTAAAACAAAACGTGGTATAAAAGGCCAAAACTAGTAGGACTATTAAAAGCTGTTGATGTGATGATGATGTAATGTGATCGTTGAGAAAGGAAAAAACTATGATTTGCCTCTTAAAACACTAAGGATGAGGTATCGCGTATTGCGTGGGGAAGAGAATCGCACCGCAATTATCGTCCGTGTGTCATCCGTCCGCACCATGTTGTCATTAAAATTAATAAGCACACATTTTTTTTAAAATGTTTATTATGTGTACAAAAAGAATAAAGAACGAAATAAAAACACTAAAGCCCGATATTAACGAAGGAAAAAGTAAGGAGCGCTATCTTGCATGGACGACACAAGGGCGAACAAAAATGTCCAGCATAAAGCAGTAAATGAATATTCTAAAATCAACCAGAATGGCGCTCGTGTAGCCAAAGGTCATGATCAGAACAAGTTCTTGACGGAGTGAAGTTGACTTGGCGGTGGTAGTACTATGCCCCAGACATTCAAACCCTTTTAAACATTTTTTTTTAGAAAACAACGTTCAGCCTTTTATATTTCAAATAAAGTACTCTAATATACCTACTATTAATATAGGTACTTACATTTAATTATTTTACTATTGTATTTATTGTACTATTGTAGTTTGAATGTTATAATAGTATTAAATAATCAATATCATAATTTTAAGTGCATCATAACAAAGCGGCAATTTTTCTATCTATGTTCCATTTATTATCCTATTCTAACAACTTACTATCGTGGTGAATTCTTTTGTTTTTGCCGGACCATTTTCATACACAGAAGTGGTTCCCCTTATAATATATATATTTTTTAAAATTATAAGGGGGCAAACGAGCAGACGGGTCACCTGATGGTAAGCAACTACCGCCGCCCATGGACACCTGAAACTCAAAAGTCACAAGTGTGTTGCCGCCCTTATAGTCCCTCCCGCTCGAGTCAGCAGAAGGGGGGATTTTGGCCCCGGAAACCTAACTCACTCAGTGAAAGGCAACGTAGATGTGCTTAACACCGGTTTTCTGTGACGCCGTGGTATCACTTCGGTTTAAAAAAAGTTAATCACTTGACACTGAGAGAAAAAAGTATGCCTTTGGATTATGGAGTGTAGAGGTAAGGAGAATCATCTCATATGGGGGAAAGTTGAAAAAGTGTCTAGCTGTACTGTATACTGAAAATAGAGGTCGCTGGCATACAAAAACTACGATATGAACATAGCTGTATGTAACTACGATATGAAAGTAGACAGAGTGAAGTGTGCTGAGTTCAAATATTTAAAAAAAATATGACTAGAGTAGTTAGTAAATGCCAGTATCACATCACACACACACATCAACAGCCTATAACAGTCCACTGCTGGACATAGGCCTCTTCTTAGAATGCCAGTATACGAAACCTCAACTATTTACGTGTTTTTATTAGTTTCCCTTATTATAATTTTGGCGCTTTCTTTGAAAGGTATCCTTGGCTAGCGTAGCGCCACCCTAATTGAACACGTATTTCCGGACACTTTTCATATACAGAGATGGTTCTCCTTGTCTCTACTCTCCATACTTTGCATATATTGTATTTAGAAGACTAGCATCTCCCATCAGCGTTAATAGTCACTACCTCTCTTTTATTTGTCGCAGCGAGATGTTTTATAAATATACTAGCTGCCCGGCACGACATACTGACAGCAGCGCCACCTACCGGTCCAATTGTATTTTTAAATCATCCAGGAAACCATCGAAATACCCATATAAAATTACAACCCAAATTTCAAAGGTTTAGAAATTATGTGAAAAAGATAAGTACGAAAGGATAATTTTTACTACCCGTTGTCCTATTACCCGTTTTCCCGTAGGAATGAAGTATTTTCATAGTGGCCTATGTTCATCAGGGATAATGTCGGCTTCTAATGTTAATTTTTTTTTTCAAATCGGTCTAGTAGTTTCTAGTTATATAAACAAACAATCAATCAAATCTTTCCTTTATAATATTAGTGTAGATTAGTTCTTAATAAATCTTCTATCGCACGAAAAAAACATCAAAATCTGACCGATACTCCCACAGATTATTGCTTTTTTTTTTAAACAAAAAGAATCTCTTGAGCTGGATGAAATGAGAAAATTAGAATAGATCAAAATATTAAAATTTGATACACTTACCCACGATCCACAGTTATCGCAGCCGGTGGTATTTTTGCGTAAATTATTATTACATTTATAGGACACTATTTTAGTCACACCATTGTCAATTTTCACTTTACGCCACGTTCTCCAGTGCATATTCCTCTTATAGACATACTTGACACCTTTCATTGCAATAAGTCTTCGGAAATCATTCTCTATGGCGGTAACTTTCTCAACATCTTTACTAGATAAATCTCGTTTTTTATAATGTGCAATCCCATCTAAATATTCTCTGTTCTTTGGCAAATTTACTTCTAGAACTTTCGCTCTGTCTGCTATTAATTTATTAACTCGTCTGCTATTAAAATAATAGTCTCTAAGATCCGCGTGACGACTAATAGCACTAGAAATTGATATCACAACAAATATGGTTTTTAACAGCATTATTCTAGTGGCACGATCACATTTGTTGATTTCCAGAAACAGAGTTAAGGAAATATCTGATAACATTTAACAAGTAGTTTCTCTATTTTTTATAAACATGTCCATTGTTTAGTGAAACGAAGCTCATTAATTGTTAGGTGGACTTCAAGTTGTTGTTTTAATGAAAAGTAGGTTTATTTGTAAACAATGTTAAAGAATTGTTTCTTAAATCTGTGTAGGTGTAAAACGCGCGATCTCTAATTGTCAACGCCTCTCCTCCGTTTTTTCCCGCGGTCCCACTTGCGTTGATGTAGGTTTTCAAAAAAATATCAGAGGGTCAATAGGTATATACCAATAGTTATATTAGCTTGATCCTCAATGTGGAATCAAAATTATATATCAAACTTTATTCCTAATTCAGCAACTACGGTGCGGTAGTTTCTTGTGATGGGATTGGACTAAGTCGCCAAATTATAGGTGTTTAACCTCCGTCTACCCCATGCCTTTTTTTTGGTATGAAACCCCCTTATCTCATAAAACATATTTTTGTAGTAAAAAAAGTATTACTAAGACTAGCAGATTAATGATTCAACTTTCGGTTACAGTACGATATAATCACATTACACTCAAGGATGGATGTTTAATACTTTACTAAGAAAATATCTGTTTATGCCGCAAACACGCACAAGTATTTTGACACCCTCAAGTGGATTAAAATTAACGAAGCTCAATAAAACTATGAAATTTAGCAAGAAACATCTTATTATACTACAAGTCCAGGGAAAAATCTGGAAACTACTTTCGTAATTCAATATAAAAAAGTATTTATATAAACTACGTAATCAATCATCGAAGTATAAATTTAATTTATAAAACACAGTAACTAATTATAAGTTTGTGAAAATGAATTACGGGTAAAGTATCAACTGATTCGATTCCTAAACTATTTATAATATGCAGGGGCCTCAGTTCTGAGGGCAACGAAGAGTGGATCGATTTCGTCCGAGAGCCAAAAGATCTCCGATCGGCACGATTCTTTGGCTTTACGTAGAGATGTCGCTTCCTCTGCATTCTCTATCGTATACATCACGGAGAGTGCTCCGAGGAATTGTTCGAACTAATACCGGCCGCAACTTTCCGCCATCGTTCTACCCACTACAAAATTTTCATCCCAAACACTTTGATAATTGGCACTCACCACTGTGCTCTTTTCAAGACACTTTTTTCCCTCGCACAACTAAAATAGGTTATCGTCTGCGGACCGATACGACCTTAAAACCTTTAAGATAAGTGCGCACTCCTTCTTAATAGGCCGGCAACGCGTTTGTGACTCCTGAGTCACTTTTCATCAGGTAACCTGTCTGCTCGTTTGCCCCCTTTTCCATTATAAAATTGTACCTACAAATTTGTACTTAACGCTCTGTGGGCGAGTCCGACTCGCCCTCGACTTGTCAGGATTTTTTAGTGCTACACATATACTACGAGTATGTTGCATGTGTACATGGCGACAAATAAAAGACAAAATATTGCGTTGTCAAATGTACTGCGTAATGTGCGTGCAAATGAAACCACACAATTAAGGAAAAAGAAAATATTAATGAATACTATTATGTTCTTATAAAGCTTATCCGTAAACCATTTATATCGGGATTCACTTAAATTAAAAAATATTCTTCAATTGCGTAGAAATGTGTTTTATGTGATCGTAAACATTGTCTTTGTGACATTATGACAAAATATTCGCGTAATTGTTCCAAGACAATATACTTAATTAACATATTACAAAAAAAAAAACTTTTTAAAAAAAATGTTTTTTGCGCCTACTACGTTGAACAATGTGACTTGTAATGGAGTACGAAGCCCGCCAGGACAGTACAGGGAATATCGTGTCACGTTATTAGGCGACGTTATTAAAGGTACTCAGCGCGGAAAAACTTTATTCGACAGATATAACTTTTGAAATACTAGATAAAACAAACAATGAATTTGAATTGAATAGATGAATGAATTTACTTTAATATCATTTTTGATACAAGTGATTTTAAACGTTAAAACGTAAAATATCTTCCATACATTTTTTTAATGTCCCAATAACGATTTTTCTTACTAAAAGAGTAATTGTTACGACCATTAGTCGACTTACATAAGATTGACTATAGTCATTTAGGTCTCTTTTAGTTCATCATTTAAATAGGTCTGGTGAGTATGGCGGATGAGGGAGAGCTTCCAACCCCAGCTCTTGCAGCTTGGAGACTGTCTGTTGCGCAGTATGGGGTCGCGCGTTGTCGTGAAGGAGCAGTGGGGATGACCGATTGACCAAAGCTGGTTGCAGATGTGACCACCAGACCTTGCACCTACCGACTATTACTTTTTCCAAAATTTAGACAACTTTTTAGTGGGTAAAAAAATCAATTCCCGAGAGGCAGTACAAAATGCCTTTGAAGAGTTTGTTGCCTCCCGTCCAGCTGATTTTTACAAGAAGGACATCAAAAAACTGTCAAGGCGTTGGCAAAGATGCGTCGATTGCATGGGTGATTACTTCGAATAACAGAAATAAAAAAGTTTGAAAAAATAAGTACTTTCACTTATTGCATACAAAACGGCAATTTCATAGGTAAATACCTATTATTATTATTATTTACAAAAAAATATATGTAAATAAACATTCTATCAATCAATCTGACAGCACAAGCTCTCCGTAGTTTGTTCCTAGATGGCGTTGTGTGTTAGTTTTCCGAAATATTTATATTTATTTGATTAACAAGGAATATTTATAAATTTAGTTTATAAACGAACGGTGATGGACTAAGAATACGGAGTGTCGCCACCCCTGTTCATCCCGTGGTTGTCGTAAGAGCCGACTAATTAAACTTGACACAAACCCTATACCAACCCGTCTGGAAAGCGTGTATATGTAGTAGGCCAAAATCTCCTTTCTAAGAAGAGGCCTATGTCCAGCGTGGACTATTAAAGGCTGATGACGTGATGACGTGAAATAATTATTTAAGTAGTATTCAATGAATAATTAAGTCAAAAACACCGTATAAATAGACTTTGATACACGATTGACCTTGCATTAAGTTCGTAGAGCTGAGCGCTCCATCTTATGTGCCTCCTAAAAAGGTTTCAGACGAAATTTGTAGAAAAATTTAAGCTCTTCAACTTTTATAAACATCTGAGGACGCTGAAAATTGAGCATATGTGACTATTGAGACATCATTTGTCTTGTTTGTTACTATAAAATAAATCCTTGTTCAAATATTCAGCTTATTCCGGTCCGGCTTTTAGTATTTTATTTAAAATCTACTCCAATGAAATATTTGATTGCAACACGCAAAACTATGCTTAAGATCATGCAAATGTCAAACAAGAACGCAATGATGAATGGCAAAAACAGCTTCACGTTCACGAGTATTGTTGAATGAATTGTTGATGGATTATTCATTCATTCTTTCTTTCTTTTGCATTCATTTCATTCCTCGTAAAATAATGGGAGATGACGGGTGTCTGTTATAATATCTTAAAAATTCCCATTTTGTTGAACAATTTTAGTTACGAATATATCTTGTGACAAGACTGTGAGTTCGCGTGTGTCAGTGTTTTTGTGTGTTTTATTTTTGAACTACGTTTTTTCAGTATAGGCGCTGCTCAAAATAATTTGGTATGTATTAAAAAGATCAACTTGCATTAAAACGATACTAGATAGAAAGTAAGTTTCGTGAATTATTATGCCAAGGAGCCATATAGTCAGATATATACGGGCCATTGTAATTTTATGATCAGGTGAGTTTACACCACGCCCGTCGTTTGTTGTGATTGTGGAAGTGGAGAAACTTCGTTGTAGGTTTCTTTGTTATTTACGCATTGTTCATACACTAACTCAAAAGGTTCAAAAATCCATTGTAAAAATTCCAACTAACTCTCTTTAGGGTACTACTCTAGTTTTTATTCTGTATTTAAATACTTTTTTTTTTGTTTTGATATGAGGCAATAGAAAGAGCGTCATAAATAGTCCTTTTTTAAAGCGCGTATTTTTATGTAATACTTAATAGTATCTTTGCCTCGTTTTAACAATGTTTAAACATATTTATTGCTTGTTATCATTCAGTTTTATTTGTCTTTGTAATAATCTTTTTGTCTGAAGATAAGGCACAATTACTCTCCTGTTGGCTGTTGCTCCTGTGGAATGCAACTTTCTTGGAAATTTAATAAAGAGGGAATTGGCATGAAGCCATCTCTTTACAAATGGAGAATAGCAATGATTTTGTATTTGATCCAAATATTTATATATTGCTTTCATATGAATCATTTATAAAAAGGGAGGATGTAAGATTAAGAGAATATTCTAATCCTAAATAAGAACTTTTTTAAATTACAGTCCTAATTCATATTTGGTTATAAGTACAATTGACCATAGATAAACTTCAACATAAAAAACTTGTTGACCAAATAAAATAAAAAATAATGAAAGAAATTAAATGTTGCTCTAAAATGATTGTTGTCAACAGTCAGAGATAGTAACTATCACTTATATATATGACAACCTCAACCCGAATAATATTAATAATAAATTCAGGTCTCATTTTCTAAATGAAATACACAGGTATGTGTCTACTCTCGTATACTAAGCTATCTTGGCTAGTATCACTTTTTCCCCTGAATGATTTTATTTATGAAAGTCTTCTGGATAAAATATCAAATTGTACCACTCAAACACTTATGGTACACTAACGGTACTTACTATAAAAATTAGTGGTTTTACAGAATCAAAAAAGAATATACCTAGTTATGTTGTACCTATATTGTTTAAGTGTTAAATAAATAAAAAAAACGAATAAAAAAATTATATAATTTATTCTGGTATGTATAGTTCTGGTTCAACAAACTGTACAGAATTAACATACTGAATTAAATTTTATGAAGTTGATACAATACACTATTAGTTTTAAGTTAAGTGAAGTACTTGCAAATTCTTACCAAAGTTGTTTATTTACAAATTTATTTCTAATTATCACAAACAT